TGCATTCGTTGCAACAGGTTTACAGTGGCGTGCTCGATCGGTCCCCGAGGACGATGTCCGTAGTAGGACCCCGGTCTCGGTCGACGTAGAATGTCGATTTTCTCGGCGAGCGCGAGAATCTCGTTGAAGTTCGAGAGTCCGCGCAGCATGATTTCGTGCGAAATATCCGGCTTCAGCCCTCCGACGTAACGGTCCACCCGCTCCGCTTCGTGCATGTAGCCGACCTACTCGCAAAGTGCGAGAAAACCGCTTGTGTAATCTTGAACCGACCCGAGCTGCCGCCAAGTGCGCAATCTCTGACGCGCTGAAATAGAAGCCGTGATCGGCTCGAAGCGCGCTCGAAGCCCTGCGCACCACGCATCCCACGTGCTGTATTGGGCGGTCTCGCAGAATGAACTCCAGGTGACAGCTGGACCCGTGGGCCCTTCCTCTTGCGACGGTGGCTCGTAGGCGCGTAGCGACGTCACGATGACTCGCCACCAGTCCATGGCGGGGCCCCTTAACAGCGAAACGGCATACCGAATCTTCGCTGCGTCCGACTCGACGTAATTGGCGTCGAAGAAGACGTTCATCGTGAAAACCCACGATTGAACCGTCGGACCTCCACGTTGGCTTGGGTCGAAGCAGGGCGGGCGTTGCGGCTTGAGTGGCATGGGTGCCATAATGGCCTGTTCGCCACTTGTCGCCGCGAACTCCACGTGCCGACGGGCTTCACGAGGCTCCCGCGGGCTTGGTGCGACCCTGTTTCCTCCCATGCCAGGCATCGGCTGGGCGGCGCCATCACTGCCTGCGCCTGAGCGCTGTCCCACGCTGTCGTGTTGCGTTGGTGTGCCGGACGAAATGACGATCGGCTCGTCCGATTGTGCAGATGCATTTGTCAGTGCTTGTGATGGCGCTGGAATGTTCACCGTGGATTGCTGACGTGCGGAGTCACGTTCCGCCGTGAGCGTCGCAATTTCGAGCGCCGAATCTTCAAGTTGGCGCACCAGACGGTCAAGTTGCTCCTGCGTTAATGTGGCGAGCGTGAATTCGGCCATGGCGGGGGTGTCGGGCGAGCTCAGCAAGAGCCTCGGTCGTGGCCGTGCGTGCTTACGAGAGAGCACTACGAGCGGCGGTGCTGTGTCGCTGAGAGACGTCTACCCCCCCCCAAAAAATTGAGATAGTGGGGAAGCGAAGGTGTGGGTGCGGTACGAGAGGAGATCGTAGGCTCTGAATACCAAGTGTTACGAGTGCAATTGAGTGAACGAATGAGAATTGCACTATCGAAGCAAGAGTACAATGAGCGAAGGCATGAGCGAAGAATATATAGCGAAACTACAGTGGTAACGGTAATGGACTGTGGTTGTCGCGCGACGGGCCTTGGACTGAGGTTGGGAAAAGTGTCGAAGCGGAGGCCCGGAGCGCGGGTTACCCGCCGAGCCGTGAGGTCGGGGTGCGACGTGCGAAGGTGGCGGACGGATTGTCGATGCGAGGATTGCGAGTGGTAACGGTGCTGACTGTGGTGCTACAGTGATGTATGCGTTGAGCAGGGACGCGAAGTAAGGAAAGAGATTTTTCCTTACACCTGTTCAGAATAATGAAACTGATGCAGAGTGTTGAGTCAGTCGCGGCTGGTTCTACACGTATAAGGTCCTTGCCCAAGGAGTGCGTAGCGTCAAAACTGTTGAGGAAAGTAGCCAAGCCTAAAAACGGTGCCATCGATATTACCTATTCAGGCCACGTTCTTCTCCCCCTTGGAACCCACACCTCGATTGGCGCCGCCGCGGTTCGGTGTAGACTCTCGCCACAAGCAAGCGAGGGGCGAGGCTCGCTTTCGATTGGCTATTGCATGGCACGAAAATAGAGTCAACCAGCCTTGCCCCGCTCACATATCGAACACGCGGTGCCGCTGCATTCACCAGTGCGAGCAAGCGCAACTTCTCCATCCATGCCGCAGTGGTGCGGCCTTGGTCATCCCCAGGGCCAAACCTTGCTGTCCATTGATTGGCTGGACTGAACGCCAGGCGAAGAGCTTCGATAAGTCAGTCAGCGAATCATCGTCATTCTTCGTCATCTCGTACACAGGAGGTGTCTTTTGGTGGGGGTAACAGCTTGGCAAGCATTTCGTTCGTACATGTGCAACCCAACTTCTTCCCCCATCCCACCCAATTCCCCTCTACCGTGAGGCCGACAGCTTGGGTTGACCAGCATAGGTAGCCCACTGATGAAAAACAGCTTCAATTCCTGAACACCCTTGGTATAGACGTTTCCTAGCATCACAACTAGGCGCCATTTCCACAGTCGGACCTTCCGAGACAAGTGCTATTTACCCGAGCTTCTATTTTCCGGAAAATGTTGTGACGTTGTTTTGGCTTTCCTGTTGGCAGCTTCGCCTGTTGATGGTGTCGAGCAGACATGGAATCTAGTAGCAAGGGAAAAGGGGATAGCAACGGAGAGCAATTAGGTTTTTGTAGAATATGCTTAGAGAGTAGTCCGTTACCAACGCGTCAAGAGACGAGCCTTTCAGCGATATTCAACTGCGGTTTATCGTCGTCTGACGACAGCCTGATTTCGCCATGTGCCTGCACTGGTATTTTTCTAACCCAAGCGTCCTGTTGTGAGCATCAGCGAAAGCCATGAGGTCGTTTGATTCTGAATAGCTTACGTAATAGGGACCGGATTTCCGCAAGGCGGTGAAGTCTGTTCATTGTGATCCCTGGTCGAGGTCCTGACTCGAGGTTGACGAGATGTTGATGCCGTGATCGTCGTAAAAGATTCAGGGATACGAAAATGATTCCTTGTTATGCTATTCACGTCCTCTAATAGTTGAAAGCGTATCGAAGCTGCTTAATCTCCAATGTTGCACGATTATCACCTCGTTGTGTTAACATACAACCGCTCATGCAGGCACTCAAGCGTATGTGCATCTTGCGTGTTTAAGAAGATGGCAATGGGCTGTGATGGCGTCTCGGCATCCTGGAACCAACTACACTCCGGCGCTTGTGTGAGTGGCCTTAACTCGGTTTTCTATTATGCTAGCTGAGCCATGCCGTTGCGTGTCTTTGTTGTGCGCTGTATAATTCTCGTTTTTCCGATACTCTTGTCATGTCCACTTGCAATTGTACAGATGTTCCGTCTGCACACAACGCTTCTCGGTAGCGCCTCCCCGTTTATCAATAGGTCTCAGACTGCTTCGCCTGATCGAGTTCTACTCGCGCGAACTCACTGGCTTCTTCGTATTCCTGGTAAGCCTCAGGTTTATGATGCTAACTTCTGGCTGAGCTTTTGCAAAAATAATTAAGAAGCTTTACATTGCGCCTGACACCCATTGTCATCGTGCAGGTTACCTGTTACGTCTTGTTGGTGTTTCACATGGAGTTCGCCACACTCATTTTCCAGCTCCACTCTCTACTTCACACCATTTCCAGGTTCGTTGATAAGCAGGATAAAATAAAGCAAGGCCAAAGAAACAGTTACTGATTACAATCTCGACCGAGCGGCATGATAAGATGACACTCGACTCTGCTGAAATGAAGCCGCTGCACAGATGCTATGAAATCCAAGCGGCCCTTCTGATAGCAATAACGAACGCGCGGTGATAACAATGCCATGTTATTTGTTCTCCCTATGCTACTACCATCAGAACACTCTGGCGTGAAGGCGCATCCGTTTCAGTACATCCTGGAATGCTTTTGGTTGCCTCTCCCTCTATGCCAATGGCAGCCTCCATCTTTTATCAATCAGTGGTACGATCTCCTAGTTGTCTTGGTTCTTCGTGTTACTATTCACTTGAGTTCCGCCTTTTTCACTAGCTTCTGTCTGCGTTAACCGAAATGAATGCAGGTGCTGTTGTACGACTACCATCCGTCAGTTGGAATAAGTGGCATTGTTATAAACAAGCCCATGCAGGTGCGTCCCATTCATTTAATTCGTTGCACCCTTCGTGATGCATTGGTTTTACCTAAGACTCCTAAATGTTGTGCAGGATGATGAAATAGGATCACACCTCTTGGACCTTCCTAAATCCGTCCAACGATCCTTAGCCAAGAACCAGCTCAACCTTGCGTGGGGAGGGCCAATCGGGCAGTCTGACTGGCTGTTGCTTGAACGCTGTCCATGCTGCGCCATGCCAGCGCGAGCAAGACGGATATGCTGCCGTTGCTCCTGTGCAAAGCTCAGTCATGCTCGCAGCCCTGATGGAGGCTGGTCGCGCCAAGTCCTGCCAGGCCTGATCATAGGCTCCGACCTACCCTCCATAAAGATGCTTCCCAGGGAACAGAAACCTGAAATTTCAGATCCGACGGTCAATGTTCGGTGCTTTCTAGGTCGGACGCACATTGAGCTGGAATCGAATTCCACGAATTACGTTTTAGTTGGCCGGGCAGGCTGGCAGCCTGGGCAGCTGGAAGCTGAAATTCGAGCAGGGTGGTGGTTGGTGAGGGCGGATGAAGCAGTTGCAGCAATGTCTCTGCCAGTGGAAGAGATGTGGAGAATGCTTTCTTTGGCTCGACCTCAAGATGAGAAGCCAGATGGTTCTAGTCCGTGGTCGGAGCAAAGTGGGAATGAGGATGATGATACTTGGAAGTTGCAGTGAGGGAATTTGATCCTCGTGCCTGCTTTCTGCATGTGACAGTTGTCCTGCATTGTGCCACTCAAGCTGTGGCATTGCATTGATCCAAATGGCTGAGGATCTGCTTCATTGTTTTGCTATGTTTGCTTTTTGTAGGGAGAAGTGCCTGTCAGTCTTGTGGCCCAAGCAATTTCTCTTTGCTTGGTGCTGCTCAATGTCAATAAAGAACTGTTTCAGTTGGCCACAGAACAGAGCACTGATGTCTCATAGATAAAGATACTCTTGACATGCATTCCTTCCATCATGGGTTATGCACTGCCCAAATACTGAATGTAACCCCACATTGGAGCCTCACTGGGTTGCCTGCTACTGTTGGCCCTGAATGCAATATGCAAACCGGGCTTTTAATTTGAGCATGTCTTCAAAATCAAATTAATTGAATATAACATTCTCAAGGATATCGTTGCTGGTAGGGAGGCGGTGGTTGTGGTGGAGGGGGTCCATGGCCCATCCCCTGGCCTCCATATTGCCCATGACCAAACTGCCCCATGAGACCCCCACCACCCCCATGAAAACCATCCCCTAAGCCACCAAGACCCATATCCCCCCCAGGCCCATACCCTGGTCTGCCCATACCCCCTTCCCCACCCATCCCCACGTCCATCCCATAACCCATCCCTCCACCCATCCCACCCAAGGGGCCTGGCCTACCCCCTCCCTCAAAACTGCCCTGCCCAGAATAACCCCCACCTGGCCCCCCACCTCCTCCCATGCCTGGATGTGCCAAGCCTCCAGGCCCGGCGCTTCCCGGGCCTGGCGGAATGTTTGGTGGGTGCCCATGGAGTGGTGGCATGGAGTGAGCATGAGGAGGGGGAGGCGCGTGGGGAGGGAGGGAAGGAGGAGGGCCGGAGGAGGAGAGGGAGTGTGAGGCATGAGGGTGGTGGAACTGCAGCTGCTGATGCTGCTGGTACTTCTGGCCCTGCTGCTGGTATGGCTGCTGGTATTGCTCCTGAAACTGCTGCTGCTGCTGGTAGGAGGGGCGTCTGTCGGAAGGAGGGAAGGGCTGGGTGCTGTGAGACTGGGAGTGCTGGTGCCGCCGCTGCTGCTGCTGCTGCTGCTGTGGGCGTGGCGGGTGGCGTGAACCAGACGAGGGAGGGGCAGAGGCAGGCCGTGGTGCTGAGGGGGCTGGCTCCTTAGCAGGAGGGGGTCCTGCTTTGTCAAAAAAACGGGGGGAAATGGCGGGGGGGCGAAACTCACACTCATGCACACTCGCACTAGCTCACAAGCTCACACTCACTTCCAAAAACAATCACACTCACTGACACTTACTCCCACTTAAGGGCGGGTCCAGCGCGTACGTTTACGGGTACTATACAGTTCATTCGTCGTGGTTTGAAACGATATCAAACGGTGCACAGCGGTTTTAAAATTGCACCGTTTTGAACTGTGATGCAGTACAGATTACCATACTGGATGAACTGTAATGTACGGAAAACGAACGCGCTGGACCCCCCCTAAAATCACACTCACTGACACCCACACACTCGATACCACTCACTTGCAATCACACCCACACTCACTCACACTCCTCACACTCACCAGCATAACCGGGAGTGGCGGTGGCAGCAGCAGCAGGGGAAGCAGTGTTGACTGATCCCATGGGGTCCTTCACAGCATCGCCAGGCCGGTTGCGGCTCCAGAATTTGGTGCTCTGGTCACGACTGCCGCTGCACAGCGTGTGCCCCAGCGGGTGCCATGCCAGCGACAGCACTGCATTCTCGTGTGCGTTTGTCACCTCTGCTGCCGGCCCGCTTGTGTTCGAACTGGGAGGTTGGAGGGGGCAAGGAAAGGGAGGGTAGGGGCTTTTGAGCCAGCTCATGTGAGCCCCGGCGGGGTGATTTTTGAGTTGAGGTGACTTTTGAGTCGACTCTGAAGTCACCTAGTTACAAAGGGAGGGTAGGGGCTTTTGAGCCAGCTCATGTGAGCCCCGGCGGGGTGATTTTTGAGTCGAGGTGACTTTTGAGTCGACTCTAAAGTCACTTAGTTACAAAGGGAGGGTAGGGGCTTTTGAGCCAGCTCATGTGTGCCCCGGCGGGGTGATTTTTGAGTCGAGGTGACTTTTGAGTCGACTCTAAAGTCACCTAGTTACAAAGGGAGGGTAGGGGCTTTTGAGCCAGCTCATGTGTGCCCCGGTGGGTCCCATGCCAGCCACAGCACCTCTTACTACTTCCCTCTCTTTTCAGATTAGTAGACTAGTGCTATAGATCGCTACTCTCAGTAGGCTTGCTGCCTTTCGAAACCTACGAGTTTCAACTCTGAGTGAGCTCATGTGTGCCCCGGCGGGTGCCATGCCAGCCACAGCACCTCGTTCTCATGCGCCCCTGTCATTTCTGCGTGCTCCTTAGTTCTCCCCTTGCACGCCCCCATGTGCTCACATCCTACAGTACTAGTGGCACCCCATGCCCCACCCATGCCCCACCATGCCATGCCCCACCCATGCGACACCCATGCCCCACCCATGCGACACCCATGCCCCACCCATGCGACACCCATGCCCCACCCATGCCCCACCCACGACCCACCCATGTCCCAACCAGTCCCCAACCAGTCCCCCACTCCCAGCTCACCCCACGAGCCAGAAGAGAATGCTGCCGTCAGAGCCGCCACTGGCCAGCAGGTCCTCGCGCACGGGATGCCATGCTATGGAAGCCACCTCCTTAGTGTGCCCCTTTAGTGCCTCTGTATGCTCACATCCTATTGTACTAACACCACCCCATGCTGCACCCATGCTCCCCACCGCACCCACCCCACGAGCCAGAAGAGGATGCTGCCATCGGAACCGCCACTGGCGAGCAGGTCCTCGTGCACGGGATGCCATGCTATGGATGAGACTTCCTTCGTATGCCCCTTGAACGTCTCCATTTCCTTGAGCGTGCGGATGTCGTACAGCTGGGGGGAAGGGCGGTTGGGTGCGGTGGGGTGGGGTGGGGTGAGGTTGACAACACATTGCAGTGCCCCTTGAACGTCTCCATTTCCTTGAGCGTGCGAATGTCGTACAGCTGGGGAAGGGCGGTTGGGTTCGGTGGGGTGGGGTGGGGTGGGGTGAGGTTGACAACACATTGCAGTGCCCCTTGAACGTCTCCATTTCCTTGAGCGTGCGAATGTCGTACAGCTGGGGAAGGGCGGTTGGGTTCGGTGGGGTGGGGTGGGGTGGGGTGAGGTTGACAACACATTGCAGTGCCCCTTGAACGTCTCCATTTCCTTGAGCGTGCGAATGTCGTACAGCTGGGGAAGGGCGGTGGGGGAAGAGGGAGGCAAGGGGGATGTGCCATCACGAGCTGATTGTTAAAGGACTTCAGAGTCGACTTTTTGGTTCCAATTTTTTGTGTCGACTTCTTGAGTCGACTTAAAAGGAGCACGCTCACCTTCACGAGCTGGTCATCGGAGGATGATGCAAGCCAGTTGCCGTTCTGGTTCCATGCCACTGACCGCACCGTGCGCTTGTGCCCGTACCTGGTAACGGGCGGGTGAGATGAGAGGTGGGTGAGAGGTGGGTGAGAGGTGGTGAGAGGTGGTGAGAGGTGGTGAGAGATGGGTGAGGGGTGGGGTGGTGGTGGGTGGTCGGTGATGATGCGAGCCAGTTGCCGTTCTAGTTCCATGCCACTAACCGCATGGTGCGCTTGTGCCCGTACCTGGTGAGGGAGGGTGGTGGGTGGGAGTTGGTGCATGGTAAGTGGAGAGTGGAGAGGGTGGTGAGGTGATTGAGAGGTGGTGTGTGGTAAGTGGAGAGTGGAGAGGGTGGTGAGGTCATTAAGAGGTGGTGCATGGTAAGTGGAGAGTGGAGAGGGCGGTGAGGTGATTGAGAGGTGGCGCGTGGCAAGTGGAGAGTGGAGAGGGCTGTGAGGTCGTTGAGAGGTGGTGCGTGGTGGGTGGTGGATGCTGCGAGATGAGCAATGCGCATTCTGTATGGTGTATAGTGCATGGTGCATGGTGCATGGGGCATGGGCGCATGGGGCATGGCGCATGGGGCATGGGCGCATGGGGCATGGCGCATGGGGCATGGCGCATGGTGCACGGTGGAGGGAGCGTAGCACAATCACAGCGCCAGACTCACAGGGTGCACACCTCGCGTCCCGTGCGCGCATCCCAGAGCTTCGAGTGCGTGTCCTTGCCGCCTGACAGGGGGGCAGCATGGGGGGGAGCGGAGAGCAGCTGTCAAGACCAGGAAGAATGGCAGAAGGAGGGAACTGATCAGCAAACGGATTGGATGGGGAGAGAATTGCATGCGAAGATGAGGGCATGTTGAAGGAGAAATGCCACGTGATTGAAGAAGGGTTTTGAGATGCCACGTGATTGAAGAAGGGTTTTGATCTCAAAACCCTTCTTCAATCACGCGGATTGGATGGGGAGAGAATTGCATGTGAAGATGAGGGCATGTTGAGGAAGAAATGGAGAAGTGCCTAAGATGACAAGGGAGTTGGAGGGGTGGGATGGGATGGCAGTAAGCAGACAGAAGTGATCTTTGAGTCGACTCAAAAGTCACCTGAGTTGGAGGGGTGGGGTGGGATGGCAGGCAGTAAGCAGACAGAACGTTCCACCACTAGCAGTCACGCTTTGATAGCAGCAGGCAGGGTGGAGACCGGTGGGGGAGGGCAAGGATGTGAACGCACCCGAGACGATGAGGGAGTTGAAGGCGGCTGACTTTTGAGTCAACTCACAAGTTGGTAGGTAGGGAGGGGAGGGATGTGGACGTACCCGAGACGATGAGGGAGTGGAAGGAAGGGGTGCCAGTCGACGCACAGCACGTTCCAGCGGTGGCCTTCTGTGTGCAATGCACTATGTGTGCAATGCACCATGTGTGCGTGGATAAGGAAGGCAGGCAGAGCAGCCTTACCGGAGAGGCACGGAGCAGGCGTACCTGAGACGATGAGGGAGTTCAAGGGGTGCCAGTCCACACACAGCACGTTCCAGCGGTGGCCTGCGAGGGTGACCTCGTCCTGGCAGCGCGCAAAGTCCCACACCTTGACCGCCGTGTCGTCAGAGCATGAGCAGAACTTGAGATCGGAGCTTGAAAAGCTGGATCAGGTGGGGTGGGTGGCAGGAAGGGAGGCAAAGAGGGGGACAGGTGGGTGAAAGAGTGGCAGACATGGGTGGGTGAAGTCCCACACCTTCACCGCCGTGTCGTCAGAGCATGAGCAGAACTTGAGGTCTGAGCTTGAAAAGCTGGGGTAGGTGAGGTGGCAGGGAAGAGAGTAGAGAGCGAGGGGGCAGAGATAAGCTGACTAACTAGGACAACCAAAAAAGACATTCAGGACACAGCAGTGGCACTTGACAGAAACGACAATACCTGACTGGCTTTCTGAAAGGAGAGAAGAAAGTACCAGACGCCCTGCACAGACTCCTTGTGCGCGGCGCGGTGGCAGGCATTCCGCTTCACCATGCGGAGATTGGTTTTTGAGGCGCCTCAAAACTTTTGAGAATTCTCAAAAGTGACTCCGGAGATTGGTTTTTGAGGCGCCTCAAAACTTGTGCGCGGCGCGGTGGCGGGCATTCTCCTTTCATCATGCGCAGATTGGTCCGATCGAAATACCTGGAGCTGTAAAAGGAAGGCAAGAAAGTACCAGACGCCAGACGCCCTATAAGGGAAGAACGCACATACCTGACGCCCTGCACGGACTCCTTGTGGGCCATGGCATTCTCCTTCATCATGCGCAGATTCGTCTGGAAGTACCTGCCAGTCAACGGGGTCAATGGGGTCAATGGGGTCAATGGGATCAACGGGGTCAAATGGAGTCAATGCAGTCAATGCAGTCAATGGGGTAAGCAGGAAGCAGTTGAAGCTTAATCAAAAGCACTTGAAAATCAATACAAGGGGTCTGAAAACTCCAAAACAGACAGAAGCTTCACGTCACGGTGGTTCGCCTATCGAGACAAGTCTCACTTGATGCATCCTGAGTCGTCCCCTGAAACCAGCCAGTTGCCGTTGTGACTCCACACCATGCTCCTCACGGCCACCTGGTGGGCCTGCACGGAACAGAGTAAGGAGAACGTGCTTGTGAGACGTCTCACAAGGAGGACGTGTCAGCGCTCCACAGCTGGTTTTTGAGAATTCTCAAACACCATGCTCCTCACCGCCACCTGGTGGGCCTGCACAGAACACAAAAGTAAGGAGCACGTGTCGTGACAGCACTCAGAGAATGCACCTCTGTTACCATAACGCACCTCTGTTACCATAACGCACCTCTGTTACCATAACGCACCTCTGTTACCATAACGCACCTCTGTTACCATAACGCACCTCTGTTACCATAACGCACCTCTGTTACCATAACGCACCTCTGTTACCATAACGCACCTCTGTTACCATAACACACCTCTGTTACCATAACGCACCTCTGTCACTATAACACACCTCTGTTACCATAACGCACCTCTGTCACCATAACGCACCTCTGTCACCATAACGCACCTCTGTTACCATAACGCACCTCTGTCACCATAACGCACCTCAGTTACCATAACGCACCTCTGTCACCATAACGCACCTCTGTCACCATAACGCACCTCTGTCACCATAACGCACCTCTGTTACCATAACGCACCTCTGTCACCATAACGCACCTCTGTTACCATAACGCACCTCTGTCACCATAACGCACCTCTGTCACCATAACGCACCTCTGTCACCATAACGCACCTCTGTCACCATAACGCACCTCTGTCACCATAACGCACCTCTGTCACCATAACGCACCTCTGGCAGAGAACGCGCCGCAAGCCATTGTAACAAGGTAGCCGGCTTCTGAGTCGACTCAAACCTCACCTCACCTGAATACCATGGCTTACGAAACATTTTCTTCCCCCCCCACCTGCATGAGCATCTCAAAGTTGAAAGACAGCCCGTTCCACAGCGTGAACTCGCAGCAGCACCCCAACCCCCCAGCAGCAACCTCAAGAACAGCACCCCCATCACTACCCTTCCCCTCCACCCTCTCCCCCCCGGGCCCCCACCTGCATGAGCATCTCGAAGTTGAAGGACAGCCCGTTCCACAGCGTCAACTCGCCGCAGCGCCCCCAAGAGCAACATCAAGAGCCCCACCCACCCACACGGCACCCCTTCAACCCCCACCCCCCCCACCCCTCCCCCCACACGGACCCACCTGCATGAGCATTTCGAAGTTGAAGGACAGCCCGTTCCACAGCGTGAACTCGCCGCTTTGTGACCCTGTCAGCAGCCGCCGCCCCGTGGGCGTCCACTGGCGAGGAGTTGGGGGGTTGGGGCGGGATGGGGTGGGGTGGGGTGGGGTGAGGTGAGGTGAGGTGGGGAGAGATGGGGCGGGGTGGGGTGAGGTAAGCAACGCGGAGAGGGGCGCGGGGAGAGAGGAAGGAAGACGAGTTGGGGTGTGTGGAGTGGAGTGGAGGAGGAGAGGGCGAGAGCAGGGGGAGGGGTTGGGCTGGGGGAAGAGCCATGTTGGAAGGGCATGAGGAGTTTTTGAGGCGCCTCAAATGTTGGAAGGGCATGAGGAGTTTTTGAGGAGATTGATAGATGTGCTGTGACGTGATGTCAGCGGCAGGGCAACAGTATGCAGCAGCCTACCATACCACCACCCCACCCCAACCCACCGCATCCCACCGCACTCCATCCCATCCCATTCCATGCCATGCCTTATCACCACACTGCACCCCTTCGTACCACGACTTGGTTGATGGGGCAGCGGATCTTGTTGGTGGAGGCGTGCACAAAGCGAGATGCGATGCTGGCTGCTGGGTGGTCCTCGTATGCCATGCACGGCAGCAGCTGCATGGGGGGGAGGGGTAAGGGAAGGGGCAGCGGAACGGAAGGTGGGGCAGGGGAGGAAGTGAGAGGTAGTACAAGCAGGCTCAAGAGACGCGATGCTGGCTGCTGGGCGGTCCTCGTATGCCATGCACGGCAGCAGGTGCATGGTTGGGAAGGAGGACATTGGGGAGGGGGAAGGACTGAGGAGGTGGGGGAGGGAAGAAGCGGGAGTGGTGTGCGGCGAATACCAGAAGAATGAAACAGGAGTGGTGTGCGGCGAATACCAGAAGAATGAAACAGGAGTGGTGTGCGGCGAATACCAGAAGAATGAAACAGGAGTGGTGTGCGGCGAATACCAGAAGAATGAAACAGGAGTGGTGTGCGGCGAATACCAGAAGAATGAAACAGGAGTGGTGTGCGGCGAATACCAGAAGAATGAAACAGGAGTGGTGTGCGGCGAATACCAGAAGAATGAAACAGGAGTGGTGTGCGGCGAATACCAGAAGAATGAAACAGGAGTGGTGTGCGGCGAATACCAGAAGAATGAAACAGGAGTGGTGTGCGGCGAATACCAGAAGAATGAAACAGGAGTGGTGTGCGGCGAATACCAGAAGAATGAAACAGGAGTGGTGTGCGGCGAATACCAGAAGAATGAAACAGGAGTGGTGTGCGGCGAATACCAGAAGAATGAAACAGGAGTGGTGTGCGGCGAATACCAGAAGAATGAAACAGGAGTGGTGTGCGGCGAATACCAGAAGAATGAAACAGGAGTGGTGTGCGGGCGAAGCCCACACTGACCAAGGCAGAAGCAGTGGGCAGAGGCCCAGAGGGTCAGAGTCGTCACGTGCGTCTCAGCTGTGACAGTTGAGGCAAATCAAACCAGCTCGAGCGGTTGGAGTCGACTCAGAGCAGAGCACACATTGAGGGACGAGGAGGCGGTGGGCAGGAGGTCCAAGTAGTCGCGGGCGTTTTGGCGGCGACAGTTGAGGCAAATACAGCCAGCCTTAAGCAGTTGGAGAGTCGAGTTAAAGCCCACCTTGAGTGAGGCGGAGGAGGTGGGCAGGAGGTCAGAGGCGTCACTTAAAGCCCACCTTGAGGGAAGCGGAGGAGGCGGGCAGGAGGTCAGAGGCGTCGCGCGCGTCCCACTGGCGCGCGCGCTCGTGCAGGTAGAGCGCCACCGTGGCGCTGTAGTCCACTGTTCGCCGCTGCATGCCCCGCCTCTGCATCCTGCGCGCTGGTGGTGGGTTGAGGGTGGTTGAGGGTTGTTGAGAGCGGTTGGGAAGGTTTGAGGGGGGACAGCTTGCCACGGTTTGGTGGCATGGGCGTGCAGGTAGAGCGCCACCGTGGCGCTGTAGTCCACCGTGCGCCGCTGCATGCCTCTGCGCTGCATCCTGCGCGCTGCACAGAGCGGCAGGGGGGAGGATAAAGGCATTGCAAGCATAAGGGCGTGCAGGCAGGTAGAGCGCCACTGTGGCGTGGCACTGCAGTCCACTGTGCGTTGCTGCATTCTGCGCGCTGCAGGGAGGAAGGGACGGAAGCAAGGGTTCGGGGGAACGGGGAGGAGGCAGAGGTGAATTGGGAGAAGTATCAGCGTACTTACCATCAAAGAACCCGCCTCTCCCACCGAAATCTCCGCCCCGTCCGCCACCATACTCCCCCCTTCCGCCATACTCCCCCCTTCCCCCATACTCCCCGCGCCCCCCAAACCCTGCGCCAGGATGAAACCCTCCTTCAAACCCCCCTCCGCGCCCAAACCCCTGCCCGGGGCCCCCATGCCCCGGCCCCCCTCGCCCCCCCGGTCCCCCCGGTCCGCCTGGGCCGGGGATACCGCGTCCGGGACCATGCCCCATCCCCGGTCCCCCGGGTCCTGGTCCGCCCATCCCCGCGCCCCCCGGTCCCGGTGGCCCCATCCCCGGTCCAGGCCCGGGACCCGGTCCGCCCATTCCTGGTCCGCCGGGCCCCGGTCCCCCCATCCCCATTCCCGCTCCGCGCCCCGGGCCTTGCGCGTGGCCGTATGCGAACGGCGGAGGAGGCTGCGCCTGCTGCGGCGGACCCAGCGGCCCTGGCGGCTGATTCTGCATTTGCGCTTCAGAACAAGGTTGTGTGCGGTGCGATCGGATGCGATGCGATGGCGAGGTTGCAGAAAGATTGAGTGCGACAAGGTGAATTTAAATCACTGCGAGATTGGGGTGTGGCGTTTGGTAGAGCAACTTTCATCCGGAATCGACATTAACTACCGGCCCACGCAGCAACACCGCTGATGGCAAGGCTACTTCTCTCGGAATAACCCCGTCGCACTGCCTGCCATGGATGGGAGCAGCAATGGCCGCTTGGGAAATCGTAAAAAACGTGCGGGTTTCCGGATTGAGCGCGGTGTGCTGGTTGGGAGTGTAGGGAACTTAGGCGAAGAAATATAGTACAAATAGATCGAGTTACCACACCACCCCAGCTTGGTCTGATTCGCCTGACTGGTTTTCAACGTGGACTCCGTTCGGCATTGCGAAAGGCTTCGCGTACAGCTCGTTTCGATTCGCCTGGGGAATCTTTTGAAACAAAGTTGACACGTTTCGCCTCGGCGTAACAATTTCTGGTTTCGCAGGAAATTCGAATAATGCAAGTGCAGCTTTTTCTGCGAGAGATATCCTTGTAGCAGTAGTAAAACAGCAGAAAATCTTGAATCCTAGCGCTCGTAGACGGGACGAACGATGGAGGTTCTAGAGAGGGAGGGCCACAGCGGTCCCCCGTTAGTAGACCATCTGCCGATTCCCGAAACGGAGGAGCTGCTGCTGCACCCGCCTCCCGACTTCCACGCGTCGCACGACGGCGCTTTCTCCCCTTATTCAGTGCGCTCTCCGCGCTCTCCGCAGCTACAGCCGCACTCTTCCCCCCCCGCCAGGCGCGCGCGGGGATCGCGCGGTCAGTATAGCGAGATTAGCGAGGAGGATTATAGCGAGGATGAGGACAACGATGGGGATAGCCTTTTGGATCCGTCAGGGAAGCGAGGGAAGCGACGTCGACCGTTCGATTTGGATTTAGATCGACCGCTGGGGCCTAGTTCGCTCCCTTACCCCTTTTCCCTCCTCTCCTCGTATTCGTCTTCGTCGCTCGCGTCGCTCTGCTCCGATGCGATTTGGCTCAGATGGCCTGTAATCGCAGCCGTTGCAGTAATCATCCTCGTTATAATCTTCCTCACTTCCCCTGCAGCAGTGTCCCCCACCACAACTACACCCCCATCGGACGGCTCAGATTCTTTTTATCCGTCTGATCTGGACGGCACAGGAACCGGCTCATCGCGAGAACCTAGAGGTTACCATCCGTTACCAGTCGACTCGTTTAAAGGCGTAGACGCGTCCACTCTAGATCCGTCTACGTTACCGTCAGGCGGACGGGGAGCGGGTGGAGGTGATTGGGGAACCGGCGCTGGCGGAAACTGGGGTGGCGGAAAACCGGGGGAAGACCCGCAAGAGGGGCTGTATCCGGACGCTAAGCCTGCGCGGGGAGGGGGAAGATGGGGGAAAGCGGGCGCGGGGGCAGGCGCGGGCGGCGGGGGACATTTGGGTGAAGAGGCGGCGGAAGTGGAGGATTATAGGGACTCCGCGGGGGTGGGGCGGGAGGGGGAGGTGGTGGGGGAGGATGCCAAGAAGAAGAGGAGCCGACTGGATGACGAGGTGGTGACGTGGCGAGGCGCGCCGTGGAGATTCGACGTTGGTGATTGGCTGAGCAGCTGCAATGGGGAGTCGGGGGTGATCAAGACCGTGGAGGTGGGTGCGGGGGGGAATAAGGAGGGAGGTGGGACTGGGGGAAGGGGAGGGTGCGGGAGGAGGGCTTCGAGGGGAGGGAAGCAAGGGGAAGAATGGGATTGGGTGAAGGTGCTCGAGGTTGGTTGTATAACCGCCAATGGTAAACGCCTTTCCATGTGTACATGACATGAAATGCATGGTTACCTCACCCCACGTGCGTTCATGCATCCGTCTACGTTTGCATGCATGCATGATGCATGGAGTACATTGGGTGCATGCGTGCTTGGGACGCATGGGATGCATGGGGTGCATGGCATGGCATGGCATGCAGGAGGTGTACGGCAACAAGTGCATGCAGGACTGCAATGGGGTGGGCACGTGTCACTACGACACTGGCCGCTGCCGCTGCCGCATTGGATACACAGGTGGGAGTTATTGTTGTTGTCAACAGTATAGTACTAGTGTTATTACTAGAAGTAATAGTATTAATAATAGTAATAATGATATTATTATACTGTTGCGAAGCTGCTTCTGTTTTCTCCTGTCACCGCGGTCTGACTTCCCAATAGCCTGCCTGCGTGGCAAGAATGGACTGTTCCCACATGGTTGCACTCTTTCTTGAGACGCCGCGAAATAGAGACTCATCTCTTGCATCACCCACCCGTGCACCGCCCACCCGCCCAACTGACAGGGGCGGACTGTTCTCACATGGACGCGCATCCCTGCTCCTCCCCACCCACGTCTTCTGCGGGAGTGGTGGGCGGGAGTGCGTGGGCGTGTGCGGGCGAGTGCGACCTGCACTCGGGCTTGTGCTTCTGTGGCGCTGCCTCGCTCTTCCCCCTCCGCCCCGTCCCTGACCCCTGCGGCTTTGCCCATGACTTGTGAGTGGACGGGGGGAGTGGTGGGCGGGAGTGCGTGGGCGTGTGCGGGGGAGTGCGACCTGCACTCAGGCCTTTGCTTCTGCGGTGCTGCCTCCCTCTTCCCCCTCCGTCCCGTCCCCGACCCCTGCGGCTTTGCGCATGACTTGTGAGCCACTTGCTGTTGTGCCTTGCTTGGCTAATGCAATCCACACTGTGAGTGCATCACCTGTGAGCAGAACACCACACCGTGGCCCCTCGACGTCCTAATACCCCTCTCTGTCATGCACTTCCCCAGCTGGTGCAACACGCGTATTCACAGCCCCACTTCCACTCTCCCTTCAATTTCCTTCACCCCTCCGAGCCTCTTTCCCCTTCTCTCCCTTCTTACTCCCCTTCAGGACAGCAGCGGTGGACAGAACGAGAAAGGACACGGAGGCCCTGTATGCCAACACCACGCACTACCCCGGCTGCAGCTGGTGCAACACACGTGTTCCCCCTCCCTCCATCTCCTCTCCTCCCCTCTCCCCCCCTCTTCCCTTCCTCAGAGCAGCAGCGGTGGACAGAACGCGAAAGGACACGGAGGCCCTGTACGCCAACACCACGCACTACCCCGGCTGGTGCAACACCCGTCCTGAAGCAGTGGGGGTGGGCATGGGCGGCAGCATGGCGATGGGCGGGGCGGAGCCGCGGGCGCGGTGCACGTGTGACTATGACGGGGCGGTGGGGGCATTCTGTCACGTGCCTGTGGCGGCCTTCTGTGTCAACCAGTGCTCGGGGCACGGCACGTGCATACGAGGCCACTGCCAGGTGCGTGCATACGAGGCCACTGCCAGGTGCGTGCATACGAGGCCACTGCCAGGTGCGTGCATACGAGGCCACTGCCAGGTGCGTGAGGCCACTGCCAGGTGCGTGGGGTTGGTGCCATGCACTGCAATGCAATGCAATGCAATGCAATGCCGTGTAGTGTTATATCAATCGCCAGTTGACCTGAAAACCGCTACCTTCTGCATCCCCGTCCTCCAACCCCCTTTTCCCTTCCCTTCCCTTCCCTTCCCTTCTCGCTCTTCACCTCTCCCTTTCACCCCTCCCCCCATGCACACAGTGCAACGAGGGCTGGTTCAGCGTTGATTGCAGCGTGCCCTCCCAAGCCACATTCGCCGACCCTCAGCTCCCGGCCTGGCTGCAGCCCTTCGACCAGGCCAAGAGGTTCGGCAGCGGCTCCGGCTCCCGGACCTCCACCGAGCCTGGCCTGGCTGCACAACCTCAAGCAAGAAAGGGAGGAGGGGGTTTGGGCGGGGGAGGGAAGAATCATGGTCCAACGGAGGAGGAAGAGGAGGCGGCCTTAGAGGCAGAGATGGGAGGGGAGGAGGGAGAAGAGGAGGGTGGGGAGGAGGAAGGAGGGGGTGGAAGAGCATATGGAGGGAAGGGGGCAAGGGGAGGGGAGAGAGGGGGAGAGGGAGATGACGAGCTGGGTTGGAGGAGGCGCAGGAGGAGGAGGAGACTTCTTGGGCTAGACGAAGGAGGAAATTCCCTGGGGTGGCAAACGGATAGGCAAGGTGCCTTGGGTGGTGGTGGCACGGGCGATTTTGTGGAGTGGGATGTGCCTGTTGCTGACCGTGGCCCGCATGACTCTCATGAGCGCCGATGGCTTAGGGGGAGACAGGACGAGGAGGACGGGGAGGGAGAGGGGGAGACAGAAAAAGATGCGGAGGGAGGGGGATATGGTGGTGAGGGTGCTGCTGATGGTGGGAGAAACGCTGCTGGTGATCGGGCAGGTGCAGGGGGGGCAGGGGGGGCAGCAGGGGGAGCAGTTGGAGCAGGGGGGCGGAACGAGGTGGTGAAGCGGCGGCCGTTGATCTACATCTACGATCTACCGCCGCAGTTCAACAGCAACTTGCTGCAGGGCCGGCGCGGCAAGAAGGAGTGCGTGCCTCGGCTGTATGATCGCCTCAACCGCACCGCCTTCCTGCCCGACCATATCCACGGCATGGAGGTACGTAGGGTCATTACACCCATGGCATGGCGGTTAGTAGGGTCATTACACCCATGGGCCATGGTTTTGGGGTTAGTAAGGTGATTACACCCCTGGCATGGAAGAGCTGCCATGGAAGTAAGCTATTTCATGAGTCAGGTCCCTTTTGTCTTTGCCTTGCAACTAAAAGCACCTCACATCCACCGTCTTTGTTTTGAGTCACCATCTATCCCTGGATCCGATCCCATCCCGTAAGTCCCATGCTCCTTCCTTGATTCCCTTCCTCCCTCCCCCAGATCGCCCTGCACGAGGCGTTGCTGGCAAGCAAGCACCGCACGACCAACGCGGAGGAGGCGGATTTCTTCTTTGTGCCCGTCTACGCCTCCTGCTTCTGGCTGCGCCTCACCAACGGGGGAGATGCTTCCGGCATCCAGCTCCTGGTAGGGCTCTCATCACACACTTTGAGACGTCTCAACCCTCGATTTCTTCTTTGTGCCCGTCTACGCCTCCTGCTTCTGCCTGCGCCTCACCAACGCCGGGGATGCTTCCGGCATCCAGCTCCTGGTATGGCACATTGTGAACCTTCACCGTACCTGTAATGAATGATGAAGGTTCACTCTGCACGAACCAAAACTAGTTGGCGCAAGTCGTGTATCTGTTATGAAGAATCGCTCTAAACGCTAAAGCAGTCACGCCACCAGGCCTCTTTCTCTACCTGAACCATGGGGTTCGTCTCGTTGTCCTAAAGCACACGCTCCTTCTGAGTTGATAGAAAAGGCCTCTGCAGCCCACCTGTTCCCCTCTGACAAGATGCTTCCGTTCCGGCATCGGGCTCCTGGTTGGGCTTTCTCACACAAGCCCTTTGAGACGAGGCTAGACACGTATCGTACCATGACGAATCCTCTTTGTGGTGTGGCTCAGTACGCCTCACATGACCTCAGCTCACCATTCACACACTTCCCTCTCCGCACATCTGCCCCCACCCTTCCCTCCTCTGCACTGCAACCCTTACCAGCCGCACGTGCAGGGCAGCTGGGCGTGGCATGAGGTAGAGATGTACACTGCATTGCACCGCCACATCGTGCATGCCTACCCCCACACACACCCACTGGAACCATAACACGAAGCCACCGTCTTCTCACGTCTTCCCCACACCCTCTCCTCTCTCCCCACACCCTCTCCTCTCTCCCCCTGCCAGCCGCACGTGCAGGGCAGCTGGGCGTGGCACGTGGCAGAGATGTACTCGGCAGTGCACCGCCACATCGTGCATGCCTACCCCCACTGGAACAGAAGTCGCGGCCGCGACCACCTCTGGGTACGCCGCTCTGCCCTGCCTGCTGCTCCCTTGCAAGCAAGAGCTCATGGGCATGGTAACTGTCAGATGCCTTGTGCTGTGCATTTCATGCTGTTTATGCCAATGCTCAACCCTCCCCCCAATCCAGTGGCGAATTGCATCGATATTGTTGTATCCGCCCTTTTGCCCCTCTTCCTCTCTCCCCCCCTTCTCCCCTCCAGCCCATGGGCACAGATGAAGGGGCTTGTTTGGCCCCTCAAGCCATCTGGCACGGCAGCATGCTCACGAGCTGGGGCAACAGCATGGCAGCTCACTCCCACTCAGTCAAGGCGGCACCGCAGCAGCGGTGGGACGACATACCCCTGACGCTGAGGGGCGGCCACCTGTGCTACTCCGCTGCCAAGGATATTGTGCTGCCAGCCTGGCTGCCGCCCAATGTGAAGCACCTGCATGAGCAGTACTGGCTCAGGTTGGCCTCTGAACCTGTGCGCAGCAGATGCTGCTTTTTCTTCGGAATTCTCCCGTTCCAACCCATGTTGCGACATTGTCAACCCCACGTCTATTACGCTCTTCCTCTCGATCTGATTCTCTCCACTCGCTCCCCTTTTTTTGCGAAGAGCAGGTCATTTGAGGAGAGGGAGCACCTCTTCTATTTCGCTGGTGACTTAGGATCTGAGTACAAGGGGGGCTCTCCTGATACCAGGTATAACCACTGCATGCACATGCAATCAACTGAGCCATTGAATCCGTCAAGATTAAATATCAAATGGCCAAGACCGGAGCACAGAAGTGTCCTTTCACTTGCTTCTTTTTCTGGACCTAACTCTTTTTTTTTTTTTTCTCGAATTTCTTGCCTTCTTTTCCTGCCTGCCGAGTGTGCAGGTTCAGCTTCGGCATTCGGCAGGCCGTGGCTCGAGAATTCGCCTCGGTGCCAAATAACAAGGGGCAGCTGGGGTCGCAGCAGGAGGAGGGGGTGATTGTGACGAATGAGAGGGGCAAGGGGCACAGCGCTCAGCTGGGCAACGCCCGGTTCTGCGGAGTCTTCCCCAGCAATGGCTTCAATGCTGACATGGAAGAGGCGATGAAGCATGGCTGCATCCCTGTCATCATTCAGGTGCATCCCAGTCATCATTCAGGTGCATCCCTGTCATCATTCAGGTGCATCCCTGTCATCATTCAGGTGCATCCCAGTCATCATTCAGGTGCATCCCTGTCATCATTCAGGTGCATCCCTGTCATCATTCAGGTGCATCCCTGTCATCATTCAGGTGCATCCCTGTCATCATTCAGGTGCATCCCTGTCATTCAGGTGCATCCAGTCATCATTCAGGTGCATCCCAGTCATCAGGTGTATCCCTGTCATCATTCAGGTGCATCCCAGTCATCATTCAGGTGCATCCCTGTCATCATTCAGGTGCATCCCTGTCATCATTCAGGTGCATCCCAGTCATCATTCAGGTGCATCCCAGTCATCATTCAGGTGCATCCCAGTCATCATTCAGGTGCATCCCAGTCATCATTCAGGTGCATCCCTGTCATCATCCCTCCTCTACCCCCTTACCCTCTTTCTGCCCTTTCTTTATTGATCAGGTGCCGCCCGTCTCCCTTTGAATAAAGCTATTCTTTCAGTGACTCCTGTGATTGTGCGTATGCCTATTGAATGTGTGTTCATGAGTGGGGATGGTGATTGGCGTTCATGGGTTGGGGGAATGGTGACTGGTGCGCGTGCATGCATGCTGCGTGTGTACAACAGGACGGCATCCACCTGCCATTTGAGAACGCCTTGGAATATGCTTCATTCTCAGTGCGCATAGAGGAAAGGGACATTCCCAACATGCTCACAAAGCTCAAGGTGCCGCCGATTGTCCGTTTGGACCATCCCATTCCCAGTTGGTTGGCTCTTGCCTTGTATCCCTCCTCCCCTCTCCCTCTCTCCCCTCATTACCCATACCCCTGCCTTTTTTTCCAAATTGTGAATGTGTATGACAGTGTTCTGCAATCATGCTGTCAGCGGGTCTTAGTCTTCTCCTTTATGATCATGTGCCCCATGCTTGTGCCAACAGGCTATCACTGCGGAGCATGGGAGTGCGCTGCAAGGTACAGTGCAGAAGGTGTGGCAGCGGTTGTCGTACCACTCGGTGATCGCACAGGAGGCCAAGAGGCAGCAGGACGAGTATGGACACAACGAGGCATGGGCTTTTGGCATCAGCTTGCTGAAAGACGACGACGCCATTGATACACTCATTGAGGTGTGTATTGCACCTTAGACCGAAGCTGTGCCTGTGTTTTGTGTCGTCTTGTGTCTGAGTTCATACTGGTACATGTAAGTGGTGTTTTTTCCTGGCTGTGCATGCTTGCAGGTGCTGCACTACAAGCTCCACAATGACCGATGGCGTAGAGTCTTCAATTACAAGCAGTCCCGGGATGAGTTGGAAAAGTATTTTGGTGTACCCAAGTCATGTCTTGTAGTGTGATGTACAAAGAAGCCGCCGGCCACTCTGATTTGGTTGTTGAATCATGTTGCTCAAGTTGTAGTTAAGCATCAACAAATAGCCTGAGTGGTGTTGATGCCCATTCAGTAACCACGTAAATCATACAAAATTGTCAGGTTGATTGTACCTGCAAATTGCTGTGAAAAAAAGTGTTCGAAGCCACACCTTATGTACGGCACTACAGTAGGTTTCTGCGTACAGTGTAGACGACACACCCTATGTCATCCCACCCACATCAGAGGCTAGGTGTCCTTCAGCCGACTTCAAGAGGGTACCAAGGGAGACATTGAAGTTAGCTCAAATCCCAAGGCTTCGCGATTCGGCATGGATCATCCTTCACCCACGAAATGGGCCTTTCGAATGAAGGTCCAGTGGCATTCAAATTCACCTTTCGAATCATGGCATGCAATTGTACATCCTTTTTTTCATAGTCTTCTCGGGTCACGCGACAGCTTCAGGTTTATCCTACTGGAGACATCATGGCGAACGCGGCTCCGCTTAATCCGTCCGCCGCGGCAATGGCAGCAGCACAGGCTATAGTAGCACTGCGAAAGGTCTCCAAAGCGGCCGCTAACGCCAACCTGAAAGTCCCGGAGAATGCAGCAACTGATGAAGCTCGTGCCTGCGAGGTTGAGCTTAGCCACTTCCGTAAGTGGATAGACGAACGTGGATGAAACTCATTCTTTGGCAAAACAAATCCTAACGCAACCTCACGCATTGTTTCAGGTGGCATGGACGACCGTGAGCTTAATCTCACGCTACACGTCACAAGCCTGACCCGTGCGATTACACGTGAACAGCTTCTTCAATTATTCTCCTTCTGCGGAACGGTTACAAGATGTGACTATCTCAACAACGACAGGTCCGTTGCTCATATTCGTTATTCGACCCCGGAAGAAGCGAAGGTCGCCTTGGACATGAACAACATGGAGATTGCAGATGTGAAGTTGAAGGTTGAGCTGGCGAAAACCGCTCAAGAAAGGATCAAGACAGCTTTGACAGCCTCTGCCAACGCAATTTCCAATTTCCTGCCCGGACATGAAGGGAGGGCGACCGCCGCGTTGCAAGAGATTGTTGCAAAGCCGATGTTACAGTTCCAGGAAGCGCTTGCTATGCAACAGAATGCCTCTCGAAAGTCTGCGGGTGCATGTCCCGCCTCAGCGGCAGCTGTTTTGGCGATGCAGAGAGCTAAGGAGATAAGCAAGGTCCTGACATCCAAGGCCTCACTGCACGACCCGTTGCAAAAAAGCAGGTCAGTCCTGGTTGCGTAGAACCCATTTAGGTTGATAAAAGTACGCATAGCTAATTGGTCATCGTTGTCAATGTTGCAGGTATGAGAACGTCAACACAGATGACAGGAAGAAGCCTGACTCTCATCCAAGACTCGGGCTCTCATTCAGGGATCGTTCTGGTCGTTCTGATTTTGGCACAGCACAAGGCAGAAGGAAAGGCTCTGGCCGCTCTGAGAATTTCTTGGTGCAGGACACAAGGAAAGCCTCCTCATACATTGGTTCAAAACGCAGACAGGAGTGGGCAGACAACTATGATTGTAAACACGAAGACAAGAGAAGAACATTCGTTCAGGTCAATCCAAGATCTCCGAAGACTAGCCAAGACAGATGGCAAATGGCACAGGGAAGGGCTCTCCAAACACGTGGCTTTGGTGCAGAAGAATAGCCCCAATGCATCTACCGTATCCCGATGCCATTCACAGAAATTCTGAAAGTAAGTATGAGCAATCTAGTTAATGTGCACGTGTACATGAAGTTATAATGGATGAAGCAAACAGATAAGATTATGCGTGGATGCCTTGAACAATGTGGCTTAAATAAGGCCATGGCGAATCTCAGCAACCACAACGTGCAGCTCTGGAAACAGGGCTAGAATGACCACCTCCATTAGTGCATGCGCCAGCTGCTTTACACACACCTGTGACTGCAATCTCCGAACAAATACGTGTGGTGGAGTGAGCAAGGTCACACAATAGGGCCGTCCAAGGCAAAGAGGGAAGCGAAACAGTGTTAGGAAAACTACCACACAGCGATGGCCCACCTGTACAAAGCTGAAGAGGTCTGAAACTGATCGCTGATAATGCCGCAGACCAATCAGTGGAACAATTGAAGCAGGTGCCATTTCTGCATAAAAGACACAAGAGAGGAATCAATCAGTGCAAATTCACATATTATAAACCAAAAGGCAGCTCATCCCTGTTATAACGACTTACCAAGCAGAAGCTGATGAACTCTGGCAGCCTTATCAGCAGCCTCCAGTCGCTGCTGGAATGACTCAGGAGGTACGTTGAGCCCAAGAGGATCGGGACGAGAGACAGCAGGAGCAGACGAGCCTGTCCGGGAGCTCGAAGCTGCCACTGAGGCCCGATAATTTGGGTGGCGCGAGTAGAATATACCATCCGGCCACAACCTCTGACGTGAATAAATGAGGGCGTTCAATGTCGAAAATATTAAAAAAAAAATCAGAGATGGCATGCAAGAAAAGCTAATACAACCTACAAAAACAAAGAAGGCTAGGAAGCATAAGTGAGGTTGACAGTGTTGGGGGTTGAGGGGGAAAGGGGAGCAGGGGGGTGAGGTGGGGTTGACAGAAGAGGAAGTCATGGGAGCGATAATGAGGGTGCACAGTGAACAGCTCCAGACCTGGTGCAGGGAGCGAATGATGGTGGCAACGGTGGATTCAGTGCGGAGTTTCTGGATCTGCGAGAGCAGGAAGTCATCAATGGCATCCCCCATGCTCAGCTCCAACACCTGCCTCGCCACCCACACCACCTGCCGCCTGTCAAGGACGAAGGGGGTGTAGAGCAGGGAGAGATGGAGCGTGTAACTTGGTGAGGAGAATTTGGCCTGAAACAGCAACACTAGGATCTTGTCAAGCTCGTCCGATCCTGCCTAGGCACCTTCACCAACCTGTTCCAGAGCTATACCACGGCATCAATCAGCCTTTTCATTTGGAATGCCGTCAGATACTGACCTAATCCAGCCGTGGTCGTCGAGGTGCAGCAGCACTTCCACCAGGCGCAGGAGTGGTGCACTCAGCTTCGCAGCAGTCCACTGCAGCACGGCACAGCATGGAATGGCATGGCAAGGCATGGCATGGCATGGCATTGCATGGCAAGGCATGGAATGGCATGGCATGGCATCCCCCCAGCCAGGCATGTCCAAGATGCATGGGTAGGGAGGGAGAGAGAATGAAACTCACATGATGGATGGAAGGTGCAGAGAAGACGAGCAGCTAAAGCGGAAACAAACAATAAGTCATGCACGTAGCAGTTCACACGCTGGCCTGATTCTGCCAATGAACTGTGACTTACATCAGCAGGAACGGTTGCATCCAGTGCACTCCCCCCATCGTGCCTTCTGACAGAACCATCCCTTTCCTCGGTTCCTCGATCCACGGCTCCTCCTTGCTCTGCTGGCACATGCAAGCCACGTCGAGGGACTGCTCCCACCACCACCCCACCCTCACCCTCCTCATCACCATCACCATCATCCTCACCATCACCATCTGCTTCAAACAGCCCTGCCGGAGCTTCACCTCTCCCAACAAAACCTGACTCGCCACGCCCACCTCTGATACCATCCCCATGCCCATCCCCAGGCACACGGGCAGCACCCTGTTGACACAGGTCATCCTCAGAGGTCTCACACGAGCTTCCATGCTGCTGCACCTTCTGCTGCTTCACCCCTCCTTCCTCGTCCCCTACCCCCTGCGCCCGCTGAAGGTCATACTCCAGGCCGCCAAGGCTCTGTCTCGATCCATAGCTCAACACATCGTCCTCCCCATCCGCATCCCTCTCCCCGCCCATCCCTTCACCTCCACCCCTCATCCCTCCATCCACCAGACTCCCACCGATCGTGCTCCCACCCCTTGGCCCCACACGCCTCTTCAACCTCCCGTCAGCCTCTCTCCTCCCTCCCTCACTACGAATCTCCCGCCCAGCCCAAGCATCTCCTCTCTCCTCTCCCGATACCCCACCATCGCCCTCCTCCTCATCCCCCGTCTCGCACCCTTCTTCTCGAATCCCCTCTGACCACTCCCCTACTCCCTCCCAAACCGTAGAAGGACGGCCCTTCCCTTTCACCATCCTCAACTCCTCTCGACCGTGCAGCCCCACTATACACCCACCACCACCTCCTTCCCCACTCCTCCCACTACCATCACTGCCAAATTCTCGTCTCTGTCGTCCAATCGCTGCTCTTCTAGCCGCCTCCTCCTCACCCACCTCCCCCACGTGGCGGCTGCTGGTTGGTCGGGAGGGGCGGTGACTGTAGCGAGGGGAAGTGGCAACAGAGCTAGTGTCATCCCCGTTAGTAGCAATGGTGGAGAGCAGCTGCAGCTGGGACGTGCTTTTAACGCGCTGCCACTGCACATCGTCTGTCACCTCGTCCACACTCACTACAAGGAGGAAAGGGGGGAAAAGGTGAGTGAGGAGAACAAGGCAAGAGAATGGGAGGGAAAATTTAAGATGTCTCAGACATTGTTTCCCATGTGCTGTCACCTTCTAGACGCTCACAAGAAGGAATAGAAGCAGTGAGGAGGGCAGGGTGGGGGAACGGGAAAGGAGAGCAGGGCGGGAGAAAGGAGGAGCGGTGGGAAAGGGGGGGGAGGGGGGTGGTGGTGGAGGGATGGTGGAGAGGGGTTGAGAGGAGGGAGGGAAGCGAGTGGAGAAAACGGAAGGGAGATGGTAAGGTGCACCAAAAGAGCGTAATAGGGAGGGCAACATCGACAAAAGGAGGGGGGAGGAGGCAAAAGGAATCAGATCATGCAGCAGCGGGGGAGGAATGCTCACAGGCAAAGGAGATGGCCTTTGACACGGTGATGTGGGATTCAAACGCCTGAGGGAGCACAGGGGGGATGGGGGGGATTAGAGCCTTTTTTTTTTTTTTTTTTTTTTAATGCGCCTCAGACACACCCTCACAGGCGAAGGAGATGGCCTTTGACATGGTGAGGTTGGAGTCAAAGGCCTGAGGGAGCATGGGCAGAGTGGGGACCATTCAAGGGGTTCGGAGACGAATAGACAGGAGAGCGAGGGACGAGAAGCAGTGGGGGAAAAGCGGACAGGGGGTAGTTGGGGGGAGAGATCACTGGAGAGAGATGGGGGAGAAAGACAGGGGAGAGAGATGGGGAAGAGAGATGGGGGAGAAAGACAGGGGAGAGAGATGGGCGAGAGACATGGGTGGGAGAGAGAGATGGGGGAGAGCGATGGGGGGAAGGGAAGGGGGGAGATATTGCGGAGAGAGGTGAGGGAGAGAAATGGGCGAGAGAGATCGATGGGGGAGAGCTATGAGAGGTAGAGATGGTGTTGAGCAATGGGTGGAAAGATGGGATGGAGATAGGGATCGAGAGAAGGTTGAGGGAGTATGGAGGGAGAGACAGGTGAAGAGAAAGGGTGGGAAAGCAAGTGTGGTGGGAACGGCATAGCAGCAAGGAGGTACGGTGCCACAGCACTGCAGCACAAGACACCACACCCCGCCACACCGCACTACCACAACCCACCACAACACCCCACCACACCACCGCACCCCACCACACCAAACCACACCCCCCCGCACCCCACCTTGGAGTCAGGGGAGAGGAAGTCGATAACCTCTGGTGATGTGGCCAGCTCCTCGCGGGCGATGATGCCCTGCCAGGGCGGGGGGGACGGGTGGGTGGATGGAAGTGCAACAAGGGAGAGGGAGGAGGGGGGTAAGGGGAGGAGAACTTCACTCACATAACTTTGATTTCCTGGCAAGGTGACTGGGTGGCAGAGCATCAGGAAAGGGGGAGATCGAAATACTAGCATGCAGTTTTGATGCGTCGCATGGGAGGGCGGTGGGGGGTTAAAAACCTGGGAACCAACAAGAGGGTAGTGAGGACGAGATGGGTTGATTGAGGCGGAAGAGGAATTTGCACACCCGCACGTGTGGGTGAGGGTAAGCGTCCACCCACCTTGACATAAGCGTGCAGCTGCAGCAGGCGGTCGCGAATGAGCTCCTCGTCGCGCCCGCCGTGGAAGAACCGTTTGGGCGGCAGCTGCAGGCTGCTTGCTGACGGGCTGCGCCGCTTCAGCTGCTGGTGCAGCTGCCAGAAGTTGCGATACCTGGGGGGGTATGGGGTGGGTGTTGTGGGGAGAGGGGGGGGGGGGGGGAGAGGGGAGACGAGGAGGGGGGGGGGGGGCGATGAATGAGATGGTATGCCGGAGTGAGTCGTTGGCAGCTGCAGGCTGCCTGCTGTGGGGCTGCGCCGCTTCAGCTGCTGGTGGAGCTGCCAGAAGTTGCGATACCTGGGGGTTGACGAAGAGGGGTGAAGTGGAAGGGGAGAAGCGGGCGGGGAAAGGGGAAGGGAACGAGAGAAGAGGAAGGGGAGGGGAGGGGGCTTTGGAGTGGATGGAAGGGTATGTTGGGCTAGTTGGATACCAGGGTATGAGCTACTAACGTGTTGATACCACTTGATAAGTCGATTTTTGAGTCGACTCAAAAATACCACTTGATGTCGCACGCAGAGGAGACAGTGCCAAAGATGGTGGAAAACGGAACACAGAAAGGGACACAGAGAGAGCACAGGGGCACCATGACACACAAGGGCGAGCACATGGGCTCAAGGAAGCAGGAGTGCATGCACCTGCGTCGGACGATCCAAGCGGAGCCATCGAGGCCCGTGACTGCAATGGAGTAACCCACTATGGCCTCGCCCCTTGCCTCCGCTGAGAACGCCCCCACGATCTGCACATGCATGGAAGCATGCATGCATGGAACGGAGGCACGGATGGATGGATGGATGGATGGATGGATGGATGGATGGATGGATGGATGGATGGATGGATGGATGGATGGATGGATGGATGGATGGATGGATGGATGGATGGATGGATGGATGGATGGATGGATGGATGGATGGATGGATGGATGGATGGATGGATGGATGGATGGATGGATGGATGGATGGATGGATGGATGGATGGATGGATGCATGGATGCATGGATGCATGGAGATAAGTACATGACGTGACAACAAGATTGCCAGCTGGAGTGGCCGCCCTCCTGTCCGCCTACCTGCAGCACATCAGCACACACACGTGCATGCATGCACGCACGCACGCACGCACACACGCACACTCCTCCCACCCTCCTACCCAGCCAGACAACCAGCCTTAAAGCCAGCCAGCCAGCCACCCACACACACTTGCAGCAAGCGTGCAACATAAATGCCTGCACACAGCAGGCCACAGATCCACCCTAGCTGCACACACCCCCTTCACATTGCCAGTCCACACGCACTCAAACCAACAGATTCCCCAAAGTCCCCCACCTGAGCTGCACACACACACACACACACACACACACACACACACACACACACACACACACACACACACACACCCTTCGCGCTACCACCACACGCACTCACCAAACAGATTCCCTAAAGTACCCCACCTGTGCGTGCATCTGTCTGCCCTCTCCAAACGCACGCATCTCCTTGCTTCCCTCCTCGCCCCTGCTCCCACCTGCCTGCCCCCTGCTATCACCCCCCTGCCCCATGCCCAGGTACTGCTGCATCTCCAGCTGCGCCTGCTCCTCCTCCCTCCGCTGCTGCTGCTGCTGTAGCCACTCACTCTCCAGCAACCATGCCGGCCGCAGCCCTTGCCCCCTCGCCTCCTCCCCTACTCCCCCCACTCCCCCCACTTCCCCCATCCCACCCCCCACTGCATTGCCACTGCCCCTGATTCTACTACCAGGGCCGTCCCATGCACGCATCGCACCGCGCCCCTTCTTCACACGCGCGCTCAGCAGCATCCCTCCTCCTTCTTCCTCTTCCTCCTCCTCCTCTTCCATGCCCAAGCCCTCCAAGTCTAAGAAGGTTCCTGCCGTGTACTTCCCTTCCCCAGGCCCGTATCCCGATTGCCATCCCTGCACCGCCCCTTGCTGCTGCTGCTGTCGCCACCTCTGCTCCTGCTGCTTATGCTCCTGCTGCCGCTCCTCCTGCTTCTCCCACTCACGCCTCTCCCTCACTCCCTCCACCTCCTGTTCCTCCTCCCACTGCCGCACCACACTCAACGGATCCCTCTCTGCTGCTTCAGCCAGCAGCACCCTATCATCCCCACTTCCACCACCACCCACTCCACCCACCTCTCCACCACTCGTCCCTCCCGTCCCCTTCTCACCTGTGCCCCCACCAACCCCACCTCGCATCCCAAACGCACCAGCCAGCCCAAACGCGGCTAGATTCCGCTCCACCCATCCAGCAGTGGCAGCAGCAGCAGATAGCACCGACCGCGCATCATGCCCACCCGCATCCCCCTGTGAGCCACACCCTGCATGACCCCCTGCCCCTGAAACGGAACTCCCCCTCCCACGCCCCACCCGTGCACGCATCCCCCCCTCAGGACCCATTCCCCCAGCAGCTGTGTTTGCAGCTCCAGCCGTGTCCCTGCCTGCACCTGCTGCTCTGCCTCCCGGGTCTGACCTGGGCCCTGCGCCTATGAAGCTCAGCCAAGACCCCGCTGCTGATGCTCCTGCTCCTCCTGTTGCTGCTGATCCTGCACTGGGCCTCGTCTCGCCTTGGCTCCAGTTTGCCTCTCCGACCGCTCCCACTGGTCCTTTTACGGCTGCACCCGCTGCAGTAGTCCCTGCAGCTGCAGTGGCCACCTGTGGTTTACCCACTGTACCTGTGCCACCTGTGCCACCTGTGACATCTCCTGCTGTTGTTCCCCCTGCTGCTGATGATGATGACCAGAACGCGCCGGTGGCCCACACACCCGCCCAGCCGCCTTGTGTCTGCGACTGCTGCGGCCCTGACACCCCCTTCGTCGCCCCACCTGTACTCGAACCCACTCCCTGCCTCACCCTTCCAGCCTCGTTCACAGCAGACAAAGCCCCTCTACCTCCTCCCCAAGCTGCATCCACCCCTCCTCTTCCACCCCCACCACCAACTCCTCCTCCTCCTCCTCCTCCTCCTCCTCCTCCTCCTCCTCCTTCCCCGTCCTCTCCAGCTCCTCCAGCGCCCTTCCTCTGCATCATCTGCATTGTACCAGGCGACTGCTCCACCAGAAACCCCAGCCCGCGCACCGCCACCCCAATCTCCAGCTCCTCGCTCCACCTCCCGCTGCATGCGCCATCGTTGCGGTTACCACCGCCATTGTTACCACCACCTGCACCAGCGTTACCAGCAGCAGTTCTCCTGAAACCGCCTAACTCCTCGTCCGAGCACACACCCTCCCATAGCATCTCGCGCTCCTTCTCCTTCGTTCTCCTTCCAGCACCACTGCCTGCGGTACCAGCAGCAGCTTTCGTGGGGTCAGTCATCCCTCTCTCTTCCTTCACAGACCCACCCCTCCAAAAAATTTCCCCCTTCACAGGCCTCTCTCGCTCTCGCTTGCCGTTCCTCGTCGCCTCATGCGAGTGCAGGGGGGCAACCTGTGGGGGAGCAGCCTGCTGCTGCTGCTGCTGCTGCTGCTGCTGCTGCTGCTGCTGCTGCTGCTGCTGCTGCTGCTGCTGCTGCTTGTGAATCCCCATAAGGAATCCTTGCTCCTCCCCTGGCGCAACTCCTCCCTCCCTCTCCCCATAGTAGACCTCCTGGCAGCTCTTACTGTGTCCAACGCCCTTGCTACAACCGCCTCCTTCCGTCCCGCCCTTCCATTCTGGCTCCTCGCAGCCATTACGAATAGACTCCTTGCTGCTGTGCTGTGGTTCCCAACCACCATTCTCAACAGATTCCTCCTTGCAGTGGTTCACAACAGCCTGCGTGCTTGCCTCGTGCCTGCGTGCGTGCGTGCTGTGGCTGTGGCTGTGCCAGTGGGAGTGGGAGTGAGAGTGCACCCCATCGGTGTACCAGAGCTTGTCAATCTGCTCGCTATCCAGCACCTGCAGCTGCCGCTGCTCGTACCGCTTCAACGCCTGCACAAAGTCAGCATCGTCACCCGGTAACCGCATTGCGACCTCCTCACCCTTGCTCCTCCCACGTCCTGCACCCACTTCACTCGCTTCACACGGCTCGCTCTTCACCCGGCCAAACACCTTCCCTTCCCCCTCCCTCTCCCTCCCTGCCTTTCTCCCGCGCCGCGGCCCCACCCCGTCAGCCCCTTCAACCGCGGCCACAGCAGCCCCGTCATTGGGATGGACAAACGGACCAAACGCATCACGGGGAGGAGGCGGAATGTGATGAGATAAGCCTCTAGCAGCAGCAGGTGCAGCAGGCTGGGCATAGCCCGAATCGCTTGAGGGCTGGTGGGAGCGCAAAGAAAAGCCGCCGTGCTTCTCGCCGCTGCTGCTCAGCATGCCTTGGCTTCCCGAACCACCACCAGCAGTCGACCCACCCGACCCCCCAAACCCAGGAGAGCCATTAAAGCCACCGGAGGGGCCAGAGGGGTGCGGAGGAAGGGGTGTGGCGGCAATGAGCTGAGGGGCCAGGGACGCCATTGAGGAAGATGCACTCATAGGCTGCAGCAGCCCAGGGGAACGGCCCGGGGGAGGCTTATCCTGGGGAGGCATGGCATGGGGAGGCGCAATCTGAGGCGAATCAGCCGCTCCCGACCCTCCACCAGGTCTGCGCTTCTCTCTTACTCCTCCACCACCCCGACTGCCACCAGGCCCAGCACCCGCAGCAGCAGCAGCACCAGCAGCAGCAGCAGCAGCAGCAGCAACACCGCCACCGTGACGAGCAGGATAAGAGCTATCAACATCAGGGGAGCCGTCTTCCTCATCCGTGCTGAAGCCCATGCCCACCACGCCACCGCCGTCACTGGTGCCCTCTGCCAGGCTGTCATCGTCCCCCGCACTGTCTCCCCCCAACCCCAATACAGCACGCCGCCGCATGCTGCTGCTGCTGCCCCTACCACCAGATGCACCTCCCCCGAATGCACCTGCCCCGTACGTCCCACCTGGACCAGATACGCCTCCCCCGAATGAGCCTCCACTGGGCGACCCTGTGGCCCGCATGCGCCTGCTGCGGCTGCGAGGGACTCGCCTCCTTAAAGAGGCACCCATCCGAGAGCCCTTGCCCTGCAACGATCCGTGCTGGGGTGAAAATTCCTGCTGTGATTGCCCATGCTGCTGCTGCTGTTGCTGTTGCCACTGTTCCTGCCGTTGCTGCCGCTGCTGTCGAAGGGAAGCGGCCGCAGCACTCAGCGGGGAGACCGAAGCAGTCAGGACCGGCGCCGATGCTGCCGAACCTACACCTCTGCCGCCCACACCTGTTCGCGCTCCACCTGACACTCCTGCCCCTCCTCCCATCGCTGCTGCTGCTGCTGCTGCACTGGCAGCTACTGTTGCTGCTGCCGCTGCTTTTGTGGCTGCTGAGGCTGTTGGTGGGACAGCGGCGGCAGGGGCTGAAGGAGGAGCAGAGGGTGGTTGTGAGGAGGAAGAGGAGGGATGCTTGTCCAGAAAGGCGAGTATGGCATCGTTGATCACTCTGTGGTGTGGAGGACAGCAGATAGCGAGATCGGGGGAGGGGGGGAGGATGGGAAAGGGAGAAGAGATTGGGGCAAGAAAGAGCGGGAGAAATGAGGGAGCACAAGCATACGATGCCAGACAGAAAATGCTTGAGCACACAACAGGTCAGGTCGCTACAGATGTGGAAGATCTAGAGCAGCACGGTGCTGCTGGAAGCATAGAAAGGTTTCAAGGACGGCTTTACTGGGGCTGCTGGCGTTCTCGTATGAGTTCTTGGAGGTTGGCCTGCTATTAGGGCGCATTACTTGGCATGCTTGAGAGCACTACCTACCGCGGGTTGGCCTGCTTGAGGGAGGGCAGCAGCACGCAGCAGGAGAGGAGCTCTCGAGCCATGCAACGCACCACGTTGCTCTGTGCGTCGCTGGCTGGCAGCACCAGCGCCAACAGTGCTGCCACTAGCTTTCTCACCACCTGATGCATGCATGCATGCACACGGACATGCACAGATGCACATGCATGCATGCACTCGCACATGCAAATTTACATTCATGCACATGCATAAACACGCACACACATGTGACACCCATGCACACACGCACACACGCACGCACAGACACGCACACGCGCGCACACACACACACACACACACACACACATACACACACACAGGTGAGAATGGGGGTCTACCAACACTAATCGGAGTAAAGTGAGAGACATGCTGTGTGCAGGTTTTCACCCCACCTTGTGCTTCCCACCCACCTTGTATTCGCACTCCACAGAGAGGCATGCAGGGTGCAGGTCGCCCGACGCCCCCAGGGTGTGCTTGAGGCGCTCCTCCCTCTCCCCTGCCGCCACCCGCCTCCACTCGCCCTCGCCCTCGCCCATGTCCGCACATGCACGCTGGTACTGCTCCATTGCCCCCACCACCGCTCCCACCACGTCCCTGGCAGGAAGGACAGGAAGCAGAGAGCAGGAAGGTGAGGGGTGCAAGGTGCGGTAGAGTGGTACGGCTTTGCATGACCAGCAGCAGCACAATGGTGGATGCATCACATCACACGCAGCAGAAATATGTGTGTCTAGTAATAGCATGCATGCACACAAGCAAGCAGGAAGCAGAGCAAGCAGAGGCAGAGCACCTGGTGAGCAGCGCAACGAGGTTGACCCGCTTGGCCCGCCGTGCCACCTCCCCCAGCACGGCCAGCAGCACACAGCGCAGCTCCTCCGGCATCTCCCTGTCCGGCGTCAGGTACGCATAGAACTGGTTCGTCACAAAGTCCCTGGGGTGGGGGAGATGGGGGGGAAGAGGGAGGCAGGGGTGGGGTGGGTTGGTAGAGGATGGAAGAAGGGGAGCAACACGTTAGGTGCCACCACAACCTCCGCAGCTCCTCCGGCATCTCCCTGTCCGGCGTCAGGGAGGGGTTCTACGCATAGAACTGATTCGTCACAAAGTCCCTGGGGTTGGGGGGGAGGGAGCGAGTGGGGAAAAGGAAGGATGAAGAGGGTGTGTGTGTGTATGTTTGTGTGTGTGAGAGTCTTCTTGTAACGAGTATGCACCTCACTCACCGTATAATGGAGCGCACAAACTCGTCAAGGGAGGCTTCCACCAGCGGCGATCCCACCAGCGTCAGCCCAGCCGGCTCTGACGGCCGCGGGAGGGCGTCGGCGGTCGTGATTGGCTGGAAGGGCGCGTGCACCTGCTCGTAGTGCACACGTGGCAGGCTGGCATTGGCCCGCGCCTGCACCTCAAGCATGAGCCAGCGAGCAGCGGCGAGGATCCCGAGGGCCACTGGCAGGTTGAGGAGCAGCGAGGGGCTTGTCACTGGCGCGGGTTTACAGGTAAGGTGACAAAGGGAGAGGTGTGGAGAGGGATGGAGGAGAGAGGGGGGGTCTCAACTCAAGGATCCCAAGGGCCACCGGCAGGTTGAGGAGAAGCGAGGGGCTCGCTACTGACGCGGCATCAGATGTAACGGGAGGAGGAAAGCGTGGATGAAAGGGGCGGAGGTGACACAGGCGAGCGCAACAAACGTGATGACTGGCAGCTGGGAGGACATGGGACCACCTGGGATAACGACCACCGGGACAAACAACAGCAGTTTCCGACTCCGACCACCAGAGATGACTACCATCGGGTCGTTAATAATCATAACAGTCCTCAATAGGTCTCTATGATGATCTTATGCGATAGGGCACACGCGATATAGTGTTCTTACGCGACATGGCATACGCGATAGTGTTCTTACTACGCGACATGGCATACAAGATATCATGTTCTTACGCGACATGGCATACGCGAGAACGACAGCAACAACAATGAGCAGCAGTCCGCGCGTGCGAACCTCCTCCACCAGCTCTTGCACGTGCCGTATCCGACCCATCTGCACCCATTTGTTCGCTCTCCAACGCGCCAGCCGCCAGACACCCGGTCGCACACGCACGGTCCCCCCCGACCCTAGCACCTTGCACGGCCGGCATAGCAGCGCGGGAGACGGTTTGGTTAGGACTGCGCTGCAGCATCGACATCTTAAAGTCGGCATTGTGAAAGCCTTAGGGAAGGAACCCGAAGAGCTACGGCGTGGATAGCCACAGGTAGCCTTACTGATGCCTGATGAGATAATTTTTTTACGGCTCAAATGTCACCTCATTCTGTAAGCCTTTGGGTAAGCCTTGCTGCTGCTAAGCGTGTCGAGCATAGCTTAGTGTTGCTTCTTGAAGCTAGGTTAAATACACGCGAGCAGTGGCCTTATATTAGGGTTTACTTCACACGGTGCTGCAGCGTCAGTGTCGGCTAGGTGCCATGACATGTCGAAGCCATGAATCACTGCTGCATCTCTTTATCTAAAAGGCACAATAAATGGTGGAAGTCGGGGGAGCACGAGTCAGCAGCAGCAGTTGCACTCATCGCACGTCGCGACATTTTTCACGCTGACGCTGACATTTCCCTTCGCATAGAGTACAGTACTTCAACGGGTGTGTGTGTGTGAACAGTTCTGCACTCTGATCATTCAGCCAAAAACTGCTTCAAACATCTTATGCAGACTCTGACGAGCATTTTGCAACGCACAAAAGCCGTACCTCTTGACTTGACACTATTTGATTGTGTTATTTACAGCTTGATCGTGCAAACTAGGTCTTCATTTGACAGCTGTTATGCAGACTACGGACGCGATATATACGGTACACGAAACTTACAGTCGCTCGTATTAAGAATATGAATTAGGTATGTACAACAAGCTCAATACCTCAATTCATTTGCCATGTGCCACCATCAGCACTATTGTCAAACAGCCCTAAAGGCGAGGACAGCAAAAGAGGAAACGTCTCCTTTGACCCATCTGCCAGCAATTTCCCAGCCCTTCCCCTCTTCCTAGCCCCATGCACCATCAGGCTGACACTTAGCGTCTCTCCTGCACCACTCACAACATTTTCATTCCTTTTATCGGGGATGACTCCAGATCGAGCACCTACATCCCCTCTATTAGCTGCTCTGCTGCTGTCACCTGCACCAGGCGCCAGAGACAAATGAATATCAGGGACGGCTTGCCGGCCAGCGGCAGGAGACGGGAGGAACCCCGGCACAGCACCCACAAGCTCATGCATTGCCCTGGCCGGCCCAACAGATGCTCTTTTCCATAGTCCTGCTGACGCTGCTGCATGCTGCTCTGCCGCTGCTGCTGCTGCTTCAACTGCCGTGGGGAGAGCAGCGGGCGTGAATGCAACAGGAGGGAGTGCAGCAGAAGGTGGTGGTACTAGGCGTGGGTCTGCTGGAGTAGCAAGCGAGAGCCCAGTTTGGCCACACCTTGGCTCATGACGAGCCAGCTTATGAGGAGTCCGCCCTGCTTCTCTTGAAGCACCACTCTCTCTGGTGTCTCTGGCGTGTGTGCTGGTCCCGTGTCCTGCCCGCTGCATGATCTGCTCTGCATGCTCATCCACTGGCTCTTGCTTTGGCTGTGTCATGTGTGGTTGCTTTTGTTGTTGTTGTTGCTGCTGCTGCTGTTTCCGCAGCTCCTGCCTCCGCTGCCGCCCCTGAAACTGCTCCTCCCACTGCTGCTGCTGCTGCTGCTGCTGCTGCTGCTGCTGCTGCTGCTGCTGCTGCTGCTGCTGCTGCTGCTGCTGCTGCTGCTGCTGCTGCTGCTGCTGCTGCTGCTGCTGCTGCTGCTGCTGCTGCTGCTGCTGCTGTTGCTGCTGCCGTTGTTGCTGCCCCCACTGCTGCTGCTGCTGCTGCTGCTGCTGCTGCTGCTGCTGTTGCTGATCCCACTGCTGTTGTTGCTGCTGCTGTTTCCGCTGCTCCTGTCTCCGCTGCCGCCCCTGAAGCTGCTGCTCCCATTGCTGTTGCTGCTGCTGCTGCTGCTGCTGCTGCTGCTGCTGCTGCTGCTCCTGCTGCTGGACTTGCATGTGCGTTTGCCACTGCAGAGAGGCCTCACCAGCAGCAGCACCTTCGCCTCTCCCCCCCTGCATGGCCTGCTGCAGAATAGCAGACAGCGCAGCAGCAGCCACCATCTCTGCCCCCATGCCCCCTCCCCGACTAGCCACCCCTCCAGCAAGTCCAATCGCTCCAGAAATCACACCTGCCACTCCTCCTTCCACCCCACACTCTCTTCTCACCAAGCCACGCCCAGGAGAAGAATCACACCCCCCAGACCTATCACCCGCCCGCTCCCCAGTTCCCCCCATCCCTGCCGTGCCGGCCTCCTGACCCCCTCCCATCCAACTACTGGAGGCCAAGGCGTGCAGCCATCCCGTGTTCTTCTCTGCAGAAGGGCGATCGGCTCCCCACATTGAAGACAGCTGCAAGAGCTCATGCGAGCGCAGCCCTGCAGCGGCCGCTGCTGCTGCGGCTGCTGCAGAGAGCTGTGAGTGCAGCCCCGCAGCTCCCGCTGCTCCCAGTGCGCCCACCGCACCCACCACCGCCACCTCCGCCTCGCCTGCCTGTGGCACTCGCCCTCCTCTTGTTACTGCTGGTGCGGCTGTCGCTGTTGCTGTCGCTGAGGATGCAGCAGTTGCTGCTGCAGCTGCCGCAGCTGCTGGTGCTGCTGCTGGTGCTGCTGCAGGTGCTGTGGTGGCTTCTGCTGCTGCGCGTTCAGCTGGTGCGGACACAATGAAACCCATTACATGCACAGAGTAGGGATCCGAACCACGCCTGCCGAGCGCCAAATCCCCAACCTGCAGCCTTTCCCCTACCCCAGCCTCCGGAGCTGATGCTACTGGTGCTGCTGGTGCTGCTGGTGAGGCTACTTCGTAGTGAGGTGTGGCAGTCGGGGCACAGGTGGAAAGGCATGCGAGAGAGGCGCGAGTGGCAGGCAGTGAGGGAGCCCACAGGGACGCACACTGAACAGAAGACGTGGCAGGAGGAGGTGACAAGAGGGAAGGGGGCGGGAAGGGAGCAGGAGAAGGCAAGAAAAGAGGAGGAGGCAAGGAAGGAGGCGGGGGAAAGGGAGGAGGACGGGGCAAGGACAGGGAAAGAGGAGGCGGAGGAGGAGGACAGCCAGGAGGAGTCTCTGCCAGGGTGTGCCCAGCAGCGGATGCAGGTGCAGCCCCCAGCACCACGGCACCAGCACTGCTGCCCTTGGGGGTTGCCGAAGCTGCGGCACCAGCACTGCCCTTGCTGGATGGCCGCGCCATGCCAGTGTTGGCCGCGCTGCCCCCCTGTTGCACCATACCGCCACTGCTGCCCTTGGAGGTTGCTGCCCTTGTTGAAGCCAGCCTTATCCGCGCCGTGCCTCTCGCTCTGCCTGCCACACCACCTGCTGAATCCCCGCCTCCTGTGCCCTGGGGCTGGCTCGAATGGGGCTCCTGCTGCTGCTGCTGCTGCTGCTGCTGCTGCTGCTCCGAGCGTGCAAGCGTCTGCTGCCACGTGGAAGTGCTGCCGTGCGGTGGGGGGAGGCTGAGGCTTAGGCTGTGTGGGGAGGGGAGGGCGTGAGAGATGTTGCTGGCGGCGGCACCCTGCTGGTGTGCATGCAGGATGGCCTGGCGTTGGTGCGATTGGTGAGGGAAGATGTGAGGGGAGTAGTGAGGGACGCCGGCCCCACCCTCGCGCTGCTCGTGCCCACCACGGCTATAAGAGGACCACGCTGCTCCCGCTGTTGCTCCCGCTGTTGCTCCTGCTGCTGCAACCACAGCCGCTCCCGCTGCTGTTCCGGCTGCTGCTCCCGCTGCTGCTCCCACAGCTGCTCCTGCTGGTGCACCTGCTGCTCCTGCTGCCCCTACTGCTCCTGCTCTTCCTGCTCCCCCTGCAACTCCTGCTCCATCTGCTGTACCTGCTGCACCCACCGCACCAGACCCCCGCGCACAGAGCATGTGGCCGAGAATCGCTCGAATCGTGGTGGGGGGGGCGTTTTCAGGTGGTTCTAGAGTCACCTGGTGGGACAGAACGCCCCGGAGCGTCGCAGCAGCAGCAGCAGCAGGAGGAGCGGCAGAAACAGCAGCAGCAGGTGCAGCAGGTGCAGGAGCAGTAAGAGGAAGAGCAACAGGAGCAACAGGAGAAGCAGCAGGGGCAGCAGGATGAGGCCCAGGCGTGGAGGGGTCCATGCGGGCTTGCTTAAAGGACATGTCAAAGCTGAGACGTTGCTGGTGAGACGATGAGTGGGGTAGCGGTGATGGATGGGAGTGATGTGACGGGTGGGAGAGAGGTGATGGGTGGGGTAGCGGTGACGGGTGGGAGAGAGGTGATGGGTGGGGTAGCGGTGACGGGTGGGAGAGAGGTGATGGGTGGGGTATCGGTGACGGGTGGGAGAGAGGTGATGCTTGGGTGTGAGGTGATGCGCCATGATGTAGATGGAAGGGAGCTGTGATGGCGCTGTGCTTGACAGCCCGTGCGCGTGGAACTTGGGTTTGCTGCGCAGTAGTACAAGTGCCAAGCCCTTTGTCCATACTGCAATCTCTTTCTCCTTCCCCCACCGCCGCCGCCACTGCTGCGTCCTCTTCGCCCTCATCACAGGATGGGACGGCCTCCAAGTCAAACGCCCATCGCTCTCGGGGCAACTCCGGTGGAGACTCTGACGCATGGTCTTGTGATGCGGCAATGGCAATGCCATGATGGAACGCATTGGCAGCGTTGCCTTGGGATGCCATTCCTGAGGACGTATTCCCCCCTGCAGCACCCAGAGACCAGGCACCAGCAGCAACGCCAGGACTTGCAGCAGCAAACACCGCAGCACTCTCCTCTCCCACGCCCACCCCACCACCCTCCGACCCCCCCTTCTGAGCCTCTGCCTCCAGAGCAGCCGCAGCAGCCAGAGCAGCGGCCTTACTGTCAGCAGCGACTTTCTTCCACCGCCTCGACCTGCTCCCCCCGGTTCCAGGCACGCCCGCGGTTTCCCCCACGCGGAAGTTCGTCCGCGCGTTGGGTCCCCGCACGGCCCTGGCGGCGGCGTCGAAGGCGTGCGCGGCCTGCACGGGGCAGGAGAAGGTTCCCAGCCACTTGCGCACGCCGCGCTGGTTGTCCTTGATCTCCGCGATCCAACGGTTGCTGCCGCGGCTGCGCACGCCCGTGTAGCGGATGGCGTGCACGTGCGGGTTGAACTGCGCGGAGACGGAGTTGGTGAAGCAGGAGCAGGGCGGGATGCCTTCCAGGTCCGTGAGGAGCGAGGGTGGGAGAGAGGAGGAGAAGGACGGTGCGGGGATGTGCGGGATGGTGATGGAACCGCTGCCGCTCCCACCTCCTGTTGCTGCTGCTGCTGCTGCTGCTCCTGCTCCTGCTCCTGCTGCTCCTGTTGCTGCTGCTGCTCCTGCTGCTGCTGCTGCTGCTGCTGCTGCTGCTGCTGCTGCTGCTGCTGCTGCTGCTCCTGTTGCTGTTGCTCCTGCTGCTGCTGTTGCTGGCGCTGGCGCTGCTGCTGACGCTGGCGGTGCTGGCTCTGCAGTTGGTGTTGCTTCTCCTGCTGCTGCTGGGGCAGCTGCTAGTTGTGCGGCAGTTGAAGAGGGATTGGATGCCGATGGAGGGCCCGTGAGGGGAGGAGGGAGGCTTACAAGAGCAGAGGAGCCGCTCGGAGGACCTCCGGGGGTGGTCATTGCCTGTCGGTTGCTGCTGCTGTCTGTCTGAATGGGGTACATCTCAGGAGCGGCGGCAGCATGTGCAAATGTGTCAGTAGTAGTGGTAGTGGTAGCAGTGATACTAGTAGCAGCAGCATTGATTATGGAGGGAGCAGGGGCAGGCAGACGGGTCCGTGTTTGTGCTAACTGCAGTGCCAGAGGCATCGGCAGCCGAGCTTCTTGAGCCTCCAGCTTCTGATACTTCTGATGCACACCATGATCATCCCTGTGATGCGTTCCATGATGCTCCTGATGCTTCCGTTGCTCCTCATCATGCTGCTGCTGATGTTTCTGATGCTTCAAATGCTCCAGATGAACTGCCTTGTGCTGCTCTCGGTGCTGATGCAACGGTTCTCCATGGATCATGTATCCGGATTCCTCATGACCGAGATAAGCGCCACCATGAGTAGTATCATGATTCTGTGCGTCATCATGACCATCCTGTGAGCCATCATGACCATCCTGTGAGCCATCATGACCATCCTGTGCGTCATCATGACAGCCGTCCAGTCCCGCGTTACCACCATGACGGCCCTCCACCATCATGACACTACTACCCGCTCGGCTGCAACGACGCTGTTACTGACGATTATAATGGACAGAAATCCGTTTTCCTTCCCTAGTCCATGTGCGCCTCTCCGCGGAACGACTAACGAAGTGGCACCGCCGCACTCATTGGACCCATTTGTAATAACTTTTTTTTCTCCTAGTTATGTCCAGACGGTTCGAATCTGTGAATTTAGGGCGTGTGATGGTGGGCAAAGAGGTCCGCTGCCATGTGACGATGACGCATCGGATGCGCACTGCAAGCATGCAGGAAAGAATCACAAAACATGGTTTCTAGCACTAAGGAAAAGTATTACCGGCGGGTTTGTCGGAACGGCTGCAAAAGCAGCAACTCGGCGTTGAAAATGTGAAAAGTATCAATCATTAAAATGTCTGGACGGCGCTAAGTAACTATACTTAGGTATAGCTCTGACACGCATCCGCCTGAAAACGACCTAACTTAGGTATAGCTCTTCGTCCCATCAGGGACGACTGCAGACACTGTTGGTCAAACTTGCAGTCGAAGCCGTCACGGCTTATACTCTAAGGTTAAGTGACATCGCCGAAAATTTCGGAACGTTGACACGCAGTCCCTGCCGAAAATTTCAGAACGTTGGCACGCAGTCCCTAGTGGTGCGGAGTGGGTCCCAGAATAACTCACTTGCACACGAAAGTTGCTGGCTTAGGAAGACGGACTACAAGAAAGTAGAGCATGTCAATAGATGGGATGGGATGGGTGGTTGAGGTTAGTGCAGCTGAGTTGTGGGTCATCTGAGGGCAGAGGAGCAGCGATTCTGAAAGTTGGACTGTGCAACGTCAGGAGGAGCAGCCGCTGAAAACGACAGACGGTGGATGCAACAGAGAACACAGAGGGTGGCTCGTTCTGTCCCTAAGGGAATTTGCGTCATATGGATTCTATTCGAAGCTTTTGCAGTCGCAGTTTCGGCTTTGAAGCAGTGATCATAATGCAACCTCTCATATTTTTGTAACTACAAAAAATCCATTTCCCTCACATTGAATACAGTAAAACTCCACCTAGAAATTTTTTACCATCTGTAACCTAGAAGGACCAAACCCAAACACCCAAACAAACTTCTGCTGCTGAAATCATCTACAGCCATACGTCCACCAAGTATGGACTGTCCACCTATGGTACTCCCCCCCACAAACTTCTACTCTTCACCCTTTTTATCCATGCAATCCATCTCAGACTCAACAAGCGTACATGCTGCTCGCAAAAGGATCACTCGGGCCTGTGCCGTCTGCAAATCTACCCCAATCGCGGCTATCAATGACCCAACCAAGAAAGCAGAGAACTCCGAGTTTTTGCCCCTTCCCACACCTCTGTTAAGAACCACCTTTAAATAAAGTTAAGTCATTCCCGAATATGAATCCAAATATTGACCGAAAAAATGAGCATTGTATAATCCTTCACTTGAAACGTTGTAACAATCATAATAAAGGATACATTTGAATGAATGGCAGCTTAAAAGATACCACATACAAGAATAGGAAGAAAATTTGCATAGAGAAATGTATCATAATTCAATATCATATTGTCATACTCGTATATTATATAAAAGAACTTCACATATTAGGAAAGATACATTAGAGTATTTGACTGTTATTACATGCAATAAAAAATTCACACATTGTATTTTTATTTTTTTTGCAGATGAAATAGGCCAGAAATCATATCAAAATGTTCAATAACGTTGGAAAACATGATGAAGGAATCATATTATATATATAACTTATAATCAATTAACTATCTTTGCATGCATGTAGCTGTAACTTTCCAAAACTGCTGGTTCTGATGCGTTTATTTCGCTGTAACAACGTTTTGGGTACGTAATCTCTTCTCCTGAGTTTGATATTTGTCTTCATCACATTTTCTGTTTTGTGGGGTTTATATCTATCTCCCAATTGAGACGACAAGTGCCCAGGAAGCTGATTAAATTACTCCAGAAAGTGGTGACTACTACCATACTAAGTAACTCCAACGATATTATGATATCTGACGTGATCAAAACTCTCCTTCGTCCCCCCTCTGCTGCCATCCTGTGATGTTGCCACGTCACGCAGATGCGGTTCTGGCCACCGGCCTGGAACCACAGCAGGCAAGACGAGGCTGCCTTCAACTGTGCAAGTGCCCTCCCATCACGCGGAAGCTGGTCCTTCCGCCGCCTGAATATTTTCCGCCCCAATATTTGCTGCTGGCCAGAACCAATATTTTCCGCCACTTGTGGTGGTGGCGGCAGGGTCTTGGGGACAATGCATTGCATTCACCCCACAACCTATTTTTGTCTTGGACAGAGAAAATCGAGTGCGGAAAGAGAGCAGAACAACACAGAGGAGAAATTTGCGGGCTGTAGGTTCGGGTCTCACTTCGACTCGTTGTCACTCAGGCTGGGGGTTCGATACCCAGACGGCCAGACGGCCTTGGCTTGAAACAAATACAGACCATCTTAACAGAACTTCACCGGATCTTCGTTGATGATTTTGTTCTGTTTTTTTAACCGATATAGAAATCGTTCCAAATACTGATACTAATCATTTTCAACCCAACAGATGATCAGAGTGATGTCGATGACTATTTCAAAATCATTACCACAAGTCTAAAATGGTGTATTGATGCTTAAATAGGATGACGATATATCGAATTTAGAGTATGAAAGTTTTATAAATTACCAATATTGTTTTCTTACGGAGTTAGAAATGAGTATCCAATCATATCATAAGATGGAATCTTTGCTTTGATGATTAAAAAATTGGATTTATTCCAGAACTGTCATCATAACATAAATATTATATTCATATTTGGTCAAAAACATAGTAGTTGCTACTTGGAATGTTTCCGTGAAGATTGAAAGACTTGGACGCCGGTTTTCATAAAACCAGAAAAATAGACTATGTAAAACACTAACGCAAGAAATGTGTATGAACTGGTTTGGACGCGAATGCTTGGTTTGGTTGGAACACGAGCAAAACAGTCTGCGCTGGCCCATCGTCAACCTAATGCAAATGATTTGAGGGGCAATGGGTTCACCGTCACTTTGTATCCAAGGTCGAAACTGTTGATCCCAGCTGCGTCAACCTCACATAATCCAGACAGGTCTCAGATGTCATACACAAATATGGAGATTCGGCAGCTCAGCAAAGATGGAAGAACCGCCTCCCTCTTACGTAAGTACCCCTCCGCACACCGCAGAAACAAGCGAATGTCACACATTTGGACTCCATCTTGTGTCCTTCGAGATATCCCCACACATCGACAAAATTCCATTAGGTGGCTTGGTATGTCCAGCCTTCACCACACGAAACCATCCAATCCCACCCCGTGCGTTGGCGATCGACGTGTGTGTTCCTGACCAATTGCAGGCTTCCTTCTTCACGCGGAAACAGCCACTTGCGGCGCTCACTGTTTGCAACCACCATCAACAACGTTCAACCGCGTACGAAACACCGTAGCCCTGATTACACACGATAAACCCTGCTGTGCCTTGTAAGATAAGGGTCAACTTTGAGCGTCACCTAGCCATCTAACTGGTTGCTGGAATTGAATTAGGAAATGTAGTAAATTCAAAATTTCATTGGTTTCCAAACCATCACAATCTACTACCTTTATGGGTCTCCATAAATTTGCAGCATTCGCCCATGTGCTTGTATTGTGGTCATAATTACTTCGGTATGCGCTTCATTGCAAGTGATGGGTGTACTTGTAGTAGTTATAGTATGTGTTTATATTCACAACATGGAATTGGTAGTGGCAAGCAACTAGAACTTACACATCTACTAGGTGGCATCAATTTTGTCACTATGTTATAGTTTTGGGTCAAAATATCAAGAGCTTACGCAATAAAAATTTGCGCCCTTTCAGACGTGATATCCAATACTTTTTTCCAATATGCTTATAGGCCACTCAGCCCGTGTATGACTGTGGAAAATAATATTTCCGAATGCTCAGAAATCCATAAAATTAGAAGAACACCTGGGTCGCGCGAGAAAATATGATTAAGGGGGCTTTGGTCGACGTGGGTTTAGACCCCGAAACTCGGCACTGATACTCTCATAAACTTTCATCTATTGTCTTTTTAGCTTTAATTTTTAAGCTACGGATGGTTGTGTGGGCTTGTCTCATTCATATAAAAAAAAGTCAGCTGTAATTTGATGATTAAATATATTATAGTTGTCAGAATGTATTTGCTGTCTAGCCTGCAGTATGGTACTCTGTAATGAGTATATCCCAATTTAGGGTGTTGTACTTGTATCCCAACTCTTGCTAGTGAATCACATTCTCCTTCTCAACTTTCTCGACATTCACCTTACACCCTAAAACTTAAGCTACTAAGGCACCTGAACTATGGCTTCTAAGCCTACTACACTGTAGAACTTTAACATGTTATCAGAGCTTAACACTCCTGGCCTGTGGG